TGGGATTAATATACACTATGAAACAAAAGTTATCCTACGGGCTAGAGGTACAACCAAGTAGTACTGGTGACGAGTTTCTGAGTCGCGTACTTGTCGGAAATAGGTAGGTAGGTAGGTATAATTTATTTAATCAAAGAAACACACTAGGCCCAACAACACTCAGCTGGTTTCGATGAAGGGCGTGTTTGTACAGATACAAAAAGAAACTAGAACTAATAATATAAGATTAATAATGTCGTAGGTCTAAAATCATAAAAATATTAATTCAATTATTATGAACTAAGGGCATATTATAAACTAAGTAGATGAACAATAATATGGGTAAATCTATAACTATAAAAATTCGACCATAACAAACTAAGTGCCTATTGTAAACTAAGTAAAAGATCTACATATGTGGTGTGACATGACCCGATTACGTTTTGGTACATTTATTGAATGAATATATCGATTCCGCTAGTTTTGCTTCATTTGGGAGTTGGCTCCAAAGCATTGTGCCGCTATAATTAAAACTTCTTTTTAAAAAACTCTCTCTTCGATTTAGAAAGTGTCAGATCTGTAGCACTATTTCTGAGGTGGTAATCAGTCTGATTAACATTCCTTCAAACAAAGGAGTTCCTAAGGTTGGGCGCGGTGTAGTCATTTCGTATTTTATACATCAATGTTGACTCGGCACGAAGCCGCCTCGCATCAAGTGTGTCCAAGCCAGGAGAGGGTCTGGATTATATCAGCGGAACGAATATCATAATTGGCACCAATAAGAACCCCAGCAGCACGAGTTTGAAATCTTTGTAACTTGTCTTTTAGTAATTTTCTGCAGTAGTCCCAGACGGGGAAACAATATTCAAAGTAAGGCCGTACCAGGCTCTTATAAACCTTTTTAAGCTTATCTTCAGGAACAAGGTTATTCCCTTGTTTTGCACTGCGCAACCTTTTTTGCGCATAACATTGCGACATTCAAGATGGCGGCCGTTCTTCCCGCTAGCGTGAGAAGAACAGACAATGGCCGCTTTTGCAGAGCGAAAGCTTTTATTCGCAATAAGAATGCCGCAAATCGGCTGAAAGATTTTTTTTCTGCTGTGTTAAAACAAGAAAATGAAAATAACGTGCGTGATCCGGAAGTCTGCGGTGGATTTCGCGGCCGTCGAGTTGTAGA